CCCGTGTCGTGGTCTGAATTTTTTCGATCTCTGTCTCATAGATAGACTACAACCCAGGATAGAGCCGATGAGATTCCCAGCTGATCGTGATACATAGAGTTCCGAAACCTCGTCTATCTCGACTCCATAGATTTCGGCGAAGTCGATGAGAGTCGGTCCCGTAATTCCGTACGAGAAGGCCTGGGAAGGGAGCGATATATTCTCATCAACAATAGTCCCGATGGCATGGCTCGGAATGCTTGGCCGCGAGAACAATGAAACATGCTGTGGTTCAGAAAATACAGAAAACTCCCATAGCAAGCACATATTACCGAGCACGAAGAGAAGAGTGTACACCACCCTCGCTCTTCTTGTGGACAGCATCGGACCCGGGTCCTCACTCGATTGAAGCGAAATCACCGTAGGCCACGGAGTCAGATCCAAGGCTTAATATACACGAGCCATTCGCGCTAAGCCGAAAAGTCGCCGATCTCACAAACTGTGGATACAGCCGACCAATATTCCATCGGTGTGTATGGAGGAGAACGCTGGAAAGGAACGCAGGTGGCATTCATTAATTCGTTGCGGAAGCTTATTACTCGTCGTTCCTGGACTACGGAGCGGGCTCGATAGCTCCCTGGAATTTTTGCCCCATAGAAACCGTCGCGAAATTCACATTACGAGCAAGCGAATCCTCGCCGGAAAGTCTCGCGAATCAGTCAATGACAAGCCCGAAGAGGGCAACCATTCTTCGGTGAGTGCCCGCAGTGGGCCATGCGCCGGACCGGGTGTCCGGGTCGTCACGACGGTCCCGCGAATGAGAGTTTCCCGCGAGTGTCTGCTCGAGAAGGTGATCCCTGAGGACTGTCTAAGGCCTGAGGCAGAATAGCTTGATCCCAATCGGTGATTTCCCCCTATGGATTTCATTGCTGTCTCAACACTATTTCAGGGAAGCGATGATGGGTGCTTGGATTCGGCGTACGTGGGTTTTCGAACCTTCCCCGTCGATTTGAGCCGAGACAAACCGTGAAGCTCAGTCATGAAGTTTTCATGTCACAGCAAGAACTTCCTCCCGACCGGGACGGAATCGTCCCGCTGTCATGAGCGTGCTCGATTGGTGATGCAGCTGATCTTTGCGAGTGAATACAAAAAGTCTAGCTGCTCTTGCCTGGGCTGATCCTTCAATTCAACGCGATCGTGCGCAATGTCGAAGGACTCATGAGAATCCTTTAGCGTCGGTCTACGCGGAGTACTTCAGCGTTTTTCGCAGGCAAATCACTAAAAGCTCTGAGTCGCTGGAAAGCTGACCAAGATTCGGTCTCTGTTCGCTTCTCTCTAGGCCGACGCAGCCTCCTTGCGCATGCCCATGGAATTAGCATTGACATTGTCGGACCCATATGCCGTTTTTTTCCGTTCGTTTCGTCGGTCTAACCGCGAATCAGACGGTCAAATGCAACTTTCGCTCTCGAATCAAGGACGTTTCCCGTCGCTATCTGCTCCGAAGTAGGATCATCCCCAATCGGACCCTCGTTTTTTTCGAATTGGAATCTCTACCGACTTCAAAATGATTCCCGTTGCCAAATCACTTAATTCCTCCGATTCCGAACACATCCCCAGAGTCACTCAGTCGACCGCGCGAAAGTCCGAGCGACCGCGGAGAGTTCCAAGATGGAAGTAGCGATTCACCGTCGAATCCATCGAGACGCTCGTTTATAGTAATGAATGAGGCTTGGTTGAATGAACGAGTTAAAGGAATCTTGACGCACCAGGGACCCATTCGTTATCTTTTTATTTCGGAAGACTTCAACTTCATCCCAGAACGCCCGAGCTCCGAGGTTTTGGCCGCGAACCGAAAGTGTTTCCGAAGCGTCCGCAGAACAAATGTATCCGTCTTAACCGAGGACGTCGCCTACACATTGCTCTGGAGGCTGGTACCAGAGCTCGGAGAGGGAGCTTCTTCTGATTCCGAGTATATTCGCCCGACTCTGGAAAAGCCCCCCAGGCGGGACACTTTATCGGGAATCATTCTGAGTTTCGACCCTCATTTTTTGGTGGGAGTTTCGAAGTCACCTATGGAACATGTACACCGTGACGCTATTCCTCATGATCCTGACCGACTAACCTAACTGGCGACGAACGACGCGATAGTGATAAAAAGGGACGTCTCCCACCTCTCACACATTAGTCTCCGATAACGAAGCAGCTGACTCCGTGGCCTACGGTGATTTCACTTGAATCGAGTGACAGACCCGGGTCCGATGCTGTCCACAAGAAGAGCGAGGGAGGTGTACACTCTTCTCTTCGTGCTCGGTAATATGTGCTTGGTATGGGAGTTTTCTGTATCTTTTGGACTACAGCATCTTTCACCGTTCTCGCGGCCAAGCATTCCGAGCCATGCCATCGGGACTATTGTTGATGAGAATATATCGCTCCCTTCCCAGGCCTTCTCGTACGGAATTACGGGACCGACTCTCATCGACTTCGCCGAAATCTATGGAGTCGAGATAGACGAGGTTTCGAAACTCTATGTGTCACGATCAGCTGGGAATCTCATCGGCTCTATCTTGGGTTGTCGTCTATCTATGAGACAGAGATCGAAAAAATTCAGACCACGACACGGGCAAATGACCCGCTGTCCACACGGCCATATCGGATTCAGTCATTGGATTCTTTCACCTCTCAGAAAGCTTCGCCGTGAATGATCGAAATTCGAGGCGAGTCCTGGTGGGCGCACTCTTCATCGAGGGAATAACAACAGCTTTGTATCCTATCTCGAAATATCTGTGGGCCGCTCATATAACGTCTTTCTTCAATGGTCTAGTGCTCGCTCTCTTTGAAGCCGGTGAGTAGAGATCAAAACCTAGCTCAGAGATACGAAGACTGACGGGGCAATTCCCCCCACCCCGAGAGCTTCACGCGTCTCTCGTCGCTTGCAGGTTCCTACGTAGCGATAGCGAATCTCTGGGAGAATCCCAATTTCCCTCTGCAACTTCACATGTTGGGCTACGGCTTCGCAGTTTTCGTCGTTCCTTTCATTTCTGAGCCGTTTCTGAGTAAGAGCAACCCCCTAGATGCTGGCAAACTCCAACAGGCATCGGTGAGTTCCTTCGAGACATTGGCCTGCCAAAGTGGCTGATCAATGGATCAAACCTCCGCTTCGAGGCAGCGTATGCCCCTTAATACTTGATCTTTGTCGGCTCTCAGGTTTCCCGTATTTACATTCCCCATGCCGGAATCGGCGCGTTGTGCGTTCTACTAGGCATTGCGCTAGCCATAACTACTGTCTTGGTACCATACCCGCCGCAACCGACGATTGCCGAAAAAACCGACGCCGACACGTCCTCGAAAAAGCGTGATAAGGTTTTCGAAACGACCCTAGTGATACCGTTGGCTGTGATGTCGTTGTTCTGTGTGAGCCTGGAGATGACCTTCACGGGTCACCCGCATATTCTGGAATATCGAGGAATATCTCGTCCTGAGACGAAGCGAAATTCTTCATGGGTACGAGCGAGATCTACGAGTAGACGATCGAATGATTCTCAGGGATGATCTCATCGTTCGTTATCCGATCGGATCTTCATCTCACCAAATCCGATGGGGCGTATCTCGGGGGCGCATTCCGTGCGACGTTCTTCGCAGGGCGAATTATCATCCTGATCTTGCACAAGCTCCCGCGCACCCTCGTCATTGTGGTGAGTTTTCCGCGAGCTTATGATTTTCGACGCGTTGACAGCGTGCAGCCTTTTTTCATTTCAGAATAACTTCAACCTGGTTTCCGCCTTGGTAACGTCGTTGATTTTCGTGTTCTTCGTCCTGAGTTCGCCCTACGTGGTGTGGGTCGTGAACGCTGGACTCGGACTGGGACTCTGCGCGATCTTCGGTACCGATATCTCTTGGGTCTGCCAATAATTCGAGGTGAACAACCTTACGGCAGATCAATTCAAGATATTCTTGGCGTTGCTGATGGCTACGGGTCCCTCGTTCAATCATTTTCGTGCGGTGGTTCTTCGAACTCTCGACGAAAAACCCGGTATCGATCTACTTGAGCTTCGAGAAAAAGTAAAGCAACACGTCAGAAGACAAGAGGATGCGACTATCGGCCTCAACTCGGTCGACGAAAACCCAGTCAGCATCAACCAGGTAACCTCACAACGGGCCGCTCGTCCTCCACCACGCGGCAGTCGTCAACAACCCGATTCCAAGTGCAAGGGTTGTGAAGGCAGTCACTTCCGCTCACAATGCCCCTTCCTAAAAAGCAAATGCAACGGCTGTGGCAAGAAAGGCCACCTCAAGAAGGTTTGCATGGCTTCAACGGGAAATAATCGAGTGAACGCGATCCGGCTATCATCTCTGACCGATAACAACGATAGGTTCTCGCGCTTTCATCACGCTCGCCATCAAACGGGATTCCAGTACGGCTCCGTGTCGACAGCGGGGCAGATGCCACTGCCATAGGTCCGTCCACATGGAAGAAGTTAGGGTCTCCTCGCCTGCTTCCTCTAAGATCTAAGTGCTCTGCTGCTGACGGCCGTCCCATCGATGTCAAAGGGTTTTTCTCGGCTACTTTGTCGCTCGGAACCGCAGACTCGTCTGGAATGCAAGATCGGGTCATCGTTCTGCCCACGGACAGTGGTGATTTGCTCGGTGGAAAAGCACCTTATTCTCTCGGGCTGCTCACACCGTCGCCACTCGTTCAGCTTGCTCGTTTTCAACTCGACTCCACAACCTTGAAGACTCAATTTCCGAAACTTTTCGAAACATCATTGGGTCTCTGCAGCAAGATCGAAGTTGATCTCCGGTTGAAGGACAACGTCACTCCCACCTGTTTACCGGCGCGTCCGTTGGCTTTACCAATCCGTGAATTAGTGGACAAAGAACTCGAACGTCTACTCGATAACGGTACCCTCTACAAGGTCGAATCGTCCGATTGGGCAACACCCATCGTCGTGGTGCGGAAGGCCAATGGTCAGATCCGTATGTGTGCGGATTACTCGACGGGCTTGAATGAGGCTCTCCGCGACGTTGACTATCCTCTGCCGAACATGGAAGAGATCATGTCCAGGTTCAGCGGAAATCGCATCTTCACTCAACTCGATCTCGCAGACGCCTACCTGCAATTGCCTCTCACGGCTGAGAACCGGAAGTTGACTACCATCAACACCCATCGCGGTTTATATCAGTACAACCGCTTGGTTTTCGGTCTCAAAACAGCGCCGGCTATTTTCCAGCGGACCATTGATCAAGCTCTGGCGGGACTGGAAGGCGTACTAGTCTACTTGGATGACATCCTTGTCATGGCTCCAGAACAGGAACTCCATGACAGGCGTTTACGGCAGGTTTGCGAAAAACTGCAAGAATGGGGTTTCCACCTGCGTTTCGAGAAGTGTCGTTTCAATTCGCGGACTGTGAAGTATCTCGGTCTCATCATCTCCGAGAAGGGTATCCAAGCTGACCCGAGCAAGGTTGAAGCAATCTGCAACCTTCGCGAGCCCGGGAACGTTACGGAGTTACGATCCCTTCTCGGACTTTTGAATTACTACGCTAAGTTTTCGGCGCAGTTGCAACAAGTGAAACCGCCCTTCGAGGCACTTCTCAAGAAAGGCGTCACTTTCAAATGGGCGAAAGAACAGCGCGACGCTTTCCTCAGAGCCAAGGAGCTGTTGTCAAGTCCTCTTTTGCTAGCGCACTTTGACCCCCGCCAAACCCTCGTGGTGGCGGCAGATGCTTGCGATACGGGGATCGGCGGCGTCTTGCTCCAGAGGTATGCGGACGGAAACGAAAAGGCGGTCTTCCACGTTTCGAAGTCGCTGTCTCCTTGTCAGAGGAACTATAGTCAGATCGAGAAAGAGGCTCTTGCTCTGGTCTCTACCGTCGAAAGACTTCACAAATTTATCTGGGGCCGTCGATTTATCCTCCAGACGGACCACAGGCCTCTCGTTGCTCTGTTTCAGCCTAACAACATGAAAGGTCTCAGCGAACGCACCGCAGCGCGTTTGAGACGTTGGGCTCTTCGCTTGGTGGGTTATGATTTCCATATCGAATACGTCCGGACAAATGACTTCGGCCATGCCGACGCGCTGTCGCGTTTGATCCGCGAACTCAGAAAAGACGGAAAAGACGCCGGCCTGGATGAGGTCATCGGTCATCTCACCCTTTGTGAGCAGGAAATCGTAGCGATTCCCTCCATCTCTCTGAGAGTGCTCAGCCTTCCGCAGGATGTCAAGGAGGCATCTCGGAAAGATCCCGTGCTGGTATCTGTTCTCGAACGCGTCAGGAAAGGTTGGCGCGATGACGATTGTAGAGATCCGGTTCTCCGGCCTTTCGCTCAACAGGCCGAAAGCTTATGCGAGACCGATGGATCCCTTCTACTTAATGATCGCCTCATCGTGCCGCAACCCCTACGTAAAGCTGTGCTCCACAAACTACACGTCGCGCATCCAGGTGTCCGGCGCATGAAAGCGCTCGCACGGGCTTACTTCTACTGGCCAGGAATGGGCAAAGATATCGAAGGGTTAGTGAAGAGTTGCAGGCACTGCATCCAACACGCCGCAAATCCGCGCAAGATACCGCTGCAGCCCTGGCCCGATCCAAAAAGTCCGTGGACTCGAATTCATTTGGATTACGCCGAACCTCAGAGAGGAAAAATTTTCCTGGTCATCGTTGACAGCTTCTCCAAATATCTCGATGCGGCGTGGATGACTCAAGCCACTAGTCAGACTCTGATTGCCTACATGAGAGTCGTGTTCCGACATTTCGGCCCACCACAAACGATTGTTTCGGACAACGGGCCGCAATTCGTTTCAGTGGAGTTC